TAACCAATTGTCAATTGATACCATTAGCTAATTACCATGCTTTATTCATAGAACCGAAACAATAAATTGAAATTTGAACATAGAAATGTACCTCTTGCTTAACAGAACCAAAAACAACCACCAAACAGCTCTATCTAAAACAGCAAAACACCACCTACAAAACATGAAAAGTAGATATGGTTTATAGAGGAGGAGAAAAAGCAAGAAAAAATCTAAAAAATTGCAGTTTCTGATTTCTAGTCCCAAAACTGTCCAAATATGTTTTTCTGCGCACTGTTTTTATATGAGATGCTTAAACTTTGTTAGTCCATTACTAAAACAAAAGGAAAATCCTGGAAAACAAAAACAAACAGAGGCATAAGAAAACAGAATATCTAGTGACAACAGAGTAAACAACTAAAAAGACCATCGCTTGTAATGAGAAAGCCCAAATCCATACTGTTTTTGCCCAAAAACTTCAACCCATCAATCCCACATTTTTTCCTATTCAAAACCATCATCCAAAGAACCGTGAACCCCTAAAGCATAGCCATTCAAAAAAAATTAGGGGCAAAATATTTACTTATTGTTGATCAATACTAATGTACAGTTTATCTAATATTTTCTGTTTTCGTAGCCTCTCTAATTCTGTAAACCAAAAACTTCAATATATATCTTTAATTTTCTGTAAGCGTTGATCTAGATTTACATTCTTTTTGTCCTGACAACTCAATCAAACATTTTTTGGAAGCAACCAAATCAGAGGATCCATTCCCATGGGATAAGGAAACATATATGAGTGTCAGCGGTGGTCTACTTTCTAATAACCAATAAAGTGGTGGTTCGATCTGTATAACCAATAAATCAAACTTAGCTGTGATTTTCAATTATGTGCAGGTGTCAGACAATTTCATAACCTAAACAATCAAAAGTCACCCTAAACAATTAAAATCACAAAAGAACTCTGTTAATTGATGAAATAAAGAACAAAACATGCGCTAAAAAGGTGAGGGGATGCATACCCGAAGACAAAGGATGCAAGAATTCGCAGCCAAGAGAGATAGAAGATGCCTGAGACGAAGCTTGTAGAATCCGTGAAAAATATCACAACGAACAGACAATTTCATCAATCGAAAGGGCCGCTGGATTCGCAGCTCGCCTCCCCAAACGAAAATAAACGGCCACCAAAGCATCTCCAAGAGGGAACGAAAATCTTCCATCGCTGCCCCCCAACCAGCTAGTTCGAAATCAACCATGAACTCCTGCTCTGAGAGAACGATACGTTCGCTGGGGAAGAATGGCTGAAGGAGAAGGGGCAAAAAGGGAAGAGCAGAAAAGTTTAAGTGGAGGGCATATTCGGAAATTTACTGTGATGGAGAGGAACCAAAACGTGTAGCAACAGTAAAATGAGGGGCATTTCTGTTATTACACTGTGCTTAAGAACAGTGTTTAGTCGGATTGCCGTTTAGTATATATATAATTTATATTTCATTAACTGCTTCAAATTCTCTTCTGTATAGCAGACATGGGCTTACCGTCTGTTTGGTAAAAGGAATGATAAGTGATTATTTGTGAAAATCGCTGCCAACGACATCAGTTTGGAGAATCAAGGTGGAAAGGTGCTTTTTGTTTCCGCTTACTTGAGAATCGGTTTGGGACCGAGCGAGCATTGTTAATGAATTTTTGCGAATTACCCAACATTCCCTTATTTCTTTTGACAATTTCCACAAAATTTCCTTTCCTTTTTATGCGCGCACGTCCTTTTCTTCTTCCAATTGCTGGGCTTCTTTCATTTTATTTTTATTTTTCTTTTCACTCTTTTTCTTTAGTTTTTGGGGTTTGATAGTCATTGTCTTTTTAGTTCAATCTTTATCCTCACAGAAGTTAAGGAAAATTGTCTTCATCATGAAGCTATATTAAGACCTTATTGACACTCCCTTTATCAAGAAAAATTAGGTTTTAGACATAATTAACTTTACTAATTAGTATTTGAGACATTGAACATTTTTGTTTGGATTTTAATACCTAGGAAAGAATTGTTATTTTGAATTAGGCCAAAAAGGAGGCCTAGATTCGTTGGGCATGTCTAAATTATAAAGGTAAAATACAAATTTACGCTTTTGTTTAAAACCAGATCTCGGCCTCTCTCTCTCTATCCTCTTCCTTATTCACTCCATCGATGACGACGCCCTCTCTCTCATCTTCCCTCTTCTCTCCATCGACGACGATGACACCCGCTCTCTCTCCTCTTCCTTATTTGCTCCATCCACAATGACACCCTCTCTCTCATCTTCCTTCTTTCTCATGCGAAGCTCTGTTTTTCATTTGGTGAGGTATGTGTTTTCTACATCAAATTCTTATTTCAATTTTGTAGATCCGTTAGGCCAGCCTATATGGATCTAACAATAGATCTGTTATTTCAATTTTCTAGATCAGATTCTTCTCACGCGAAGTTCAGTTTAGTGCATGCTTAGATCAATTTGTTATAGCATGGACTGAAAATATGGCCGGCAAGCCTCTATATTTGTTGTTCTGGGAGGGTTTTAGGGGAGGTCCAAAACGTGCAAACGTAGTGCACTTCATGAAACACAACGGTATATTTTATTTAGAGTGCTGCTAAATGAACCTTAAAACTGAGTACACTCTACTATCAAAGTATTTATTGAATTACTAATTTACTCTAATATAAAATGACCAAAAAGGATATATGAAATTGTGAAACAAATATAATTTTAATAAGTACACCATATTCACCATATTCAACCCTAATCAAATGTAGAGCAGTTTTCATATAATTTTAAAGGTCTTTGATGCTTCAAAGGCTTAGAGCTTCCTTACAAACAAGGCGAAGACATGTGTCGGTGTTTCTCCATGTACTTGATTCTTCCTGATGCAAAAGATGGGCAGCCATATTCGAATGAAAAAGTTCATTCCAATCTGACTTCTTAGCTCAACATCATCCATACAATAAAGTTGAAGTGGATGACATTAAAATCCCAGGGTTTAAACTTTTATTCTAACTTAGAAGCATCGATCCATTATTCTCAAGGATTTCATATTGGTGATAATGCATTTCACTAGTAATTTGATAGAGATGTTTGAGTCCCCTCCACATATTTTGAAGAAAATCACAAGGATTTACAAGAATCAAGTTTTGAATTGAAGGAGCTAGCAAAACTACTCCCACAACAGCTTACGAAATTAAAGATTTTGATGCGAACCCAAAATCTGAAAAGAGGGCACACATTCATGTAAAAAGAGAAACCTGGTTTAGGGTGATGTGTTAGGATGTACCGGGGGTATTTTTGGTAGTTAAATAGGGTGTACTTAGTTAATTTTATATTTTGATTAAAATATTAGGGTATATTTAGATTATATGGTGTACTCAGTTAATTTTAGGGCTTGTTTAGCAGCACTCTTTATTTTTGGTCAAACATGAAAGATAACAGGGTATAGCAGAATAGAGTTGTGCTTAGCTGCAACTTGAGACTGTAACTTTGACCATGTGAGGTGAGGTGAGGTGAGCCGTTTAACCATAACAAATGAAGAAACTTGAATGAACAAAAGAGACCAATAATCGAACAAATAGATTACAAAAATAGGACGATACAGCCCGATCTTGAGTATTGAACAATAAAAAAGCATATCAAAATAAGTTATGTTCTCAATTTTTCATGCCATTACAAAAGCACAGTCAACCAAACCACAAATATCTAATCTTAAATAAGCTAAGGGCTCGTTTGGGAGTGCTTCTTCCCGAAGCGCTTATGACATAAGCGCTTCTACAAAAAAGCAATTTGTCATTTGGATGTCACATTTAAAAGTGCTTTTACACTACATAAAAGCACTTTTGATATTTTGTTGAGTGTTTGGCTAACATAGAAAAAACGCTTTTAAAAGTACTTTAAAAAAATTTAAAGAATCCCAAAATATTATACTAAACATAGGAAATAAAAATTCACAGGATCCCAAAATAAAAACACGACTTAAAAAAGTATAAACTTCACCAAGTATAATTTTTAATCATTCTTTGAAAATAAAAAAGGAATTAACTAGACATAAGAAGATTTGCAATTCTCTCGCGTTCGTCAGCCATCTTACGCCCATGTAGGCGAACCAGAGTAAAAACTTCTAAGCTGCTTCATGACAGGGAAATGTGGTAATCTCATCGCTTCCAGTAAAGCAAGGTGTAACTTCTATGAGGAATTCCAAAAGGCGCAAGTATCCCATCCTGTGGTATGTTGATTTACTATAAGGCTTCATTCTAGGATTTTAAGTTAAGTTTTCCAGTTATGTTCAAATTTAGCCCATTATGATTCCAACAAATTTTTTTCAGGTTTTACTTTCTGCTTGATTGTTTATGACCCATATCCGATATTGCAGGTTGTAATTTATATTTTGCAGGAAATTTATAATTTTATTTTTATCTCAGTCTTCTATGAATTGCAGGTTTGGAAGCATTAGGGAACAAATCAGTTAGGTAATGGTGCTTTGGAGCGGATTCGCATGGATGTACAGACAGGGCAGGGACTAATTGATACGAACTTTGTATTAGCAGGTGGCGTTGATGGCTCTTTAAGGTAGAGAAAAAGATAGAGAAAAAAAAAAAAGAGAAAGAGGGTATTTTGGCATTTTAAAAAATTAAATATGGGTATTTTCGGCATTTTAAAAGTTTCATTAAAGGGAGCCTAGTGCTTCCCGTGTTTTTGTCCTGCAGCGCTTTTAAGAAGAAGCACCTCTCAAGTGCTTCTTCCAAAACCACTCCAAGTGCTTCTTCCAAAACCACTCCAAGTGCTTCTTCCAAAACCACTCCAAGTGCTTTTGGATCTCACCCAAAGCGCTTTTGCAATTTTTGCCAAACACCATTTTTAAGAGATAGAAGCGCTTTCACCCATTTAGAAGCACTTTTCGCTTCTCCAAAAGCACTCCCAAACGAGCCCTAAGACAACACACTAACTAGCTTGCAAGGTCTTCTCCTCATAGCATGATTCTTCACTCGACAATTTAATTACCTGTCCCAAAAAATACATAAGTAACAAAATTTGAGCAAACCCTCCGGAATGAACAAACCGAAAGAGAAGAAAACATTAGACTAGAGTCCAGTAAAACAACAGTAAGATTAAAATAAGTAGTCATAAATCTACACCTGCCATTTGAAATGGCAGGATACCAGCCAGCATTGCATATGTAACAAAAACATATAAGACAGATATGTGGATGTGGTAGTGTTCATTTATTCACCTTATAAAAAAAATATACAAAAAGAATGGTTTTGTCATTGTAATCTTTGTCGCAAAGTTGCACCACTCTAACATATTCCAAAGTTAATAGGAACTTGGATAATTACATATTTAGCCCAAAACAAAATCATATAATACAGATATAACTAGCTACCTATTTATGTGCAGATCTCATATTACAATCAGATTTTTATGCATGTGTAATGTATGTCTATATAACACACAATATAACTGTATTATATAATAGATTAAGCATATATAATGCAGAGAAGTAAGTAGGCGTAAAACTACTTACAGAACAAAAGCACCAAGCACATTTGCATGCAGGGTGTCGTCACATGGGTGAGGTGTGTAACTGGTATCACAGTCAAAGAAGCGAGTATGAATATGTTTGACGTCCCTTCCCATTGTTGTGGTTCGTGGTGAGATTTCAAAGGTTAACGACATAATGCGCAACTTCTCAGCTTCAGACATTTTAGGTGCCTTGTTGTCTGGAGAAATATATAAGCTCATAATTAGGCAGACTTTCAGACTTCTATATGAACAAAGCAGTGGTCATATGTTGAATATATATCACAAAATTCAGCAGGGAACTTATCCGCGTCCGCTAGAACTTGCTCCAGTGGCAATTTTTTAATAACAGACAAATGATCAGGCTCAACAGAGTAGACAACAATGGCATATCCACGCGTTTTCCTCTTATAACTGAATATGAAAGACTCATTGTCATCCAACAGGTGCAAAGCTTTTCCTTCAAAAGGAAGAGGACCAATGGGAAAAAGCGGAGCCCCAATTTCTATCCATTCTGGATGTTCCTCTTCACAAGTGTCAAAGCCATATACCAGACTGCTCCCAGTCGACAGAAGGATAAACCTATCCACAATTGCACAAGAGAAGTCTCCATAGCTTCCACCAGGCTCGAGAATTGAAGGTGCGGGAAGGGGAGACCATTTCTTAGAGTTGGGGTCAAAAACCTGGAAATATGGAGGCTTCTTATGACATAAGAGCGTCTCACCGGAGAGAGCATAGAGTTTCCCCGAAACCTCCACCAGCAGGGGTTTAGGGATCCCTTCTCCAAGCAATTTACCAAACATACGCTCTCGGCCCCTCAGTTTGATCGTGGGATTCGGATCCCGAGTCTCAAATCCATATATAGCTCTACTCGCCTCTGGTCCGAATCGCCTATGGCAGCGCTCGGCCACGGTTGAGACGTGGGATTTCACACCTCCGCCGAAAACACCGCAACCCATATAGCCGGGAAGATACTCGCCGGTTAGAGAAGCCCGATAGCGTAATTCACTATTGCCCTTGGAGCAAGCCGCGCATTCGGTTCTGGTTGTCGTATCATCCGGATGCTTTAATTCACTACAATCCAACGGGCATTTGCTTCTATCACCATCACCACCAAGAGGAGTAGGATTAGGATTAGTAGGAAGATCGGGATCGAAGTGGCAGGAGCATGATGAGGAAAACAAATCGCTCAATTTTATGGAATTAATAACGTAAGAAACAGTCTCAGTCTTCAAAACCATGGAACATATATATAAGGACCTCTCATCATTCGACCTTAATGGTCCCGTCAGATCTGCCATGCAGCCGCCGCCTGCCTCCATAAACCACTTGCTGCTATGCTAATGGATATCCACCGAAAAGCCCTAGGCTAGGTTTTCGATTTCTCAACTTTCACGCTTCCCGCAGCCTTTTTACTATGTTATTCAACCCAAAAAAATAAAAAGAGATTTGAGCCACAGCGCAAGACAGCCCATTGATACAAATATGAGAGTTCGGCCCTGAATATATCTTTGACAAAAACCCGATCACAAACCTGTCATATCCCTTGCATTGCAACATATTTTTTAAAGAATACTAGCCTCTATTTCGCGCATGCAAGAGGATTTTTTTAATAGATATTTATAAAAATACCCAATTCTAGACATGTATTTATAAAAATACCCAAGCACTATTTAAACATAGAAACATACCCAAAATGGGTTTTGGGTATGTGTGTAATGATGGGTTTTGGGTATGTTTATAACTGGGTTTTGAGTGTGTGTAATGATGAGTTTTGAGTATGTTTATAAAGTGTTTTGGGTGTTGGGTATTTTTATAATTTCAGCCCCCATTTTGGGTATTTTAGTGAAACTCCCTTTTTTTAATCACACGCGCTACACTCGACTTTCAAAGTTTCTTTTTCTATTTTTGCAATTGTATTTTTCTAGATGGTCTTCTTAAAAGTTTTTTTTTATTGCCCGTGTTTTCTAGATGTTCGTCTCAATAGTTTCTTTATTTTATTTTCTACAAAAATACAATTACAAAAATAGAAAAAGAAACTTTGTAAGTCGCTTGTAGCGCGAGTGATTAAAAAAACATGTTGCACGTGCAAAGAGACTAGTTTTCTTATAAATACAAAAATATCTACTTGATGCCTTTTTTTTTAGTGTTTGTACTCATTAGAAAGTTTTTTTTTTTTTTCTTAAAGACCAGTTTAAAAATAAAATGTATTTATGTTATTACACAAATATCACAAATAAATCCCAAATATTGTAGGCATCACATAAAAGGGAAATAGTTAAAATTTACTATTTCATGTAAATATTGAACTTTTGAAACTCTAGTTACATTATTGTTCCTTCTTCCCTGTTCAATTAATCAACATATGTTTTAATAGGTGCCCTCCCAATTAGCCAAATCCAGTCCCCCCCAATAAAAGTAATTAAACGTTTTACTTTCTTATTCGCTCGTATATATGCCTCTAAATCCTAATCACTTTTTCTTATGTTTCCTCTCCCAAGTAAGCCGGGCCAAGACCAACTTAAATGTATGCGATACAGTTTCTGTTATGAAATATTGTGTTTTCCCTTTTCAGTAAGTGCCAGTTTGGCATTGCTTATTTGGGGTAATAAGTGATTTTAAAAAAAATTTGAGAAGCCCAGCCCGTTTGGTAAACCATGAGAAAATCATTTATTGTTAAAAATTGCTGTGAGAGAAAGCTATAAGGGAAAGTAGCTAATGAGGTGCTTTCATTTTCTAATTATGCGAGAATCAATTTCGAAGAGGCGCTAGGTTTAATGATTATGTGAGAATCATTTTATGATTACGCGGGAATTAGTACCAACAACACTCTTAACAAAAAGTTTACCAAACGCCAAACTGCTTTCTCTCACAGCTGATTTCTCTCACAGTAAATCTAACAGCAATTATTTTCACAGCGCAGCAATGCCAAACTGGCATCCCGGCCAAATTTTAATTATATGTTTAATTTAATTAATTATGAAATTACAATTTTGCCTCGGAAATAAGGTTATTTTGGTCATTTTTTTTTTAGTAATAAGATAGGGAGATGAAGAAGGAAATCGAACCATGAGATGTGGTGTGGTGGTAGCTCACCTCATTCCTTAACCATGAGGTTGGGTGTTCGATCCCCGCCCATGGGAATGGAGCGCATTTCGTGGCCAGCCGTTTACCTCCATTGGGAGAGCTCCCACGGCGAAAGGGATTAGTCACTACTGTCGGCGGTGGATACCCTTGGGTCTCACCTAAAAAGAAGGAAATCGGCCGTACCGGTAGTGGGTGGGGTGAGAGCTCAAAGAGAGAGGAGACTAAGAAGAAAGAGGAGGGAAATGATTTATAACTTTTACTACTAAGGTCCTTGTGGTTTAAATTTCGTCACTTTTGTCCCTGTGGTTTCAATTTAAAGCAATTCAAGGAAAATTGTCAATTCCAGTGAGCTCCCAAAAGGCCTCGTGCTAGATGGAGGTAGGCATGTACATATAAGGCACATCACCCCCTCTCCGTTGGTTGATGTGGGATCTTACAATTCACCCCCCTTAGGGGCCCGACATCCTCGTCGGCACACTCACACCACACGGCAGAGTGGCTCTGATACCAAATTGTCACATCCCGAATCGGCTCCGCCGTATCACGATATTGTACGGTTTGGGCCCTCCGATCTGCCCTCATGGTTTTGTTTCTGGGAGCTCACGAGCAACTTCCCAGTGGGTCACCCATCTTGGGATTGCTCTAGCGCCAACACGCTTAACTTTGGAGTTCCCATGACTTCGAAGCCAGTGAGCTCCCAAAAGGCCTCGTGCTAGATGGAGGTAAGCATGTACATATAAGGCACATCACCCCCTCTCCGTTGGTCGATGTGGGATCTTACAATCCACCCCCCTTAAGGGGCCCGACGTCCTCGTCGGCACACTCGCACCACACGGCAAAGTAGCTCTGATACCAAATTGTCACATCCCAGATCGGCTCCGCCGTATCACGATATTGTACGCTTTGGGCCCTCCGATCTGCCCTAACGGTTTTGTTTCTAGGAGCTCATGACCAACTTTCCAGTGGGTCACCCATCCTGGGATTGCTCTAGCCCTAACTCGCTTAACTTCGGAATTCCCATGACTCCGAAGCTAGTGAGCTCCGAAAAGGCCTCGTGCCAGATGGAGGTAGGCATATACATATAAGGCACATCACCCCCTCTCCGTTGGTCGATGTGGGATCTTACAACTATTGTCATCGGGCAAAACCAAAGCTTTTCCTTCAAAGGGAAGAGGACAATCGACAAAAGGAGTACCAACTTCTATCCATTCTGGATCTTCCTCTTTCTTAGTGTCAAAGCCATATACCATAAAACTGCCACTAAACAAAAGGATAAAATTGTCCATAACTGCACAAGAGAAGATTCCATAGCTTTCACCAGACTCGAGAGTTGAAGGTGCTGGAAGGGTAGACCATTTCTTAGAGTTGGGGTCAAAAACCTGGAAATGTGGAGGCTTTATACCGGAGAGAGCATATAGTTTCCCGGAAACCTCCACCAACTGGGGTTCAAAGATCCCTTCTCCAAGCAATTTCCCAAACATACACTCTCGGCCCCCCAGTTTGATCGTGGGATTTAGATCCCGAGTCTCAAATCCATATATAGCTCTACTCGTATCTGGTCCGAATCGCCAATCCCAACACTCGACCATTCTAATGCAGGATTTCTCGCCTCTGGCGAAAACAATTTGAGATCCAAAAACACCGCAAGGCATATAGCCAGGAAGATACTCGCCGGTGATAGAAGCCCGATAGCATACTTCACTACTGCCCTTGGAGCAAGCCGCGCATTCAGTTCTGATTGTCGTATCATCCGAATGGTTTAATTCACTACGGCCCCGTTTGGTAAGCTAGATTGGACTGGACTGGATTAACCCTTCTACATTACACTGGACTGGTTAGGATATGACTGGATTTGAAGAAGTCGTTTGGTGCAGTACAACACCAAAGTTGGAGATTAGTATGCCTTTTATTTATTTTTATATTCTCATTTCCAAATTAATTACAACAAAATAGATCTTCAATCCAACAAAAAAATACAAATATAAAATAATGGGTGGAAGCTAGAAGAGGAAAGGCATGAGGTGGAGTTTGATGGCAGCAGCAAGTTCCCAGAAGTAGACGCCAGCACTCAAGCTTTCACTTCCTCCCCAAATACCAGTTTTTACCTACTCTTCATCAGATCTTGAATTTTCAGCCACCTCCCTCATATCTCAAAGAACAAAAAATTGCAAAATTATATATATAAATAAAGAGGAAGAAGTTATGAATCTGCCCTTCACCAATTTTTCCTTCCACCATATGCCTTTCATTCAAGATCTGAGGTCTATATATGGCAACGAAGAAGATTTGGCAAAGGGGAAGAGAGAGAGGATCTGAGAGAAGAGAGAAGAGGAGAAAAGAAGAGAAGAGGGGAAGAAAGAGAGAAGAAGAAGAGAGAGAACAGAGAAGACAGAGAAGAGATCGAAGTAGAAAGATGGTTGGAGGCGTGCTCTTGGCTTCGAAACCCACGTCTGGGGTTGGGTTTCTAAGCCCCAATTATTTGGGACTTGGATCCCAAGTCCAGTCCAGCTTACCAAACGGGGCCTACAATCCTCCTTGTCGTCGTCGGGGGCTTTGAGGGATTTGGAGCACCACGGGCATTTGCTTCTATCACCATCACCACCAATAGCAGTAGGATTAGTAGGAAGATCGGGATCACCAGTAGCAGCAGGATTAGGATTAGTAGGAAGATCGGGATCAAAGAGGCAGGAGCATGATGAGGAAAACAAATCCCTCAATTTGATGGAATGGATAACGTAAGAAACAGTCTCACTCTTCAAAACCATGGAACATATATATAAGGACCTCTCATCGTTCGACCTTAATGGTGCCGTCAGATCTTCCATGCCGCCGCCGCCGCTGTCAGTTGCCTCCACACACCACTTGCTGCTATGCTAGCTAATGGATTGGATATCCACCCAAAAGCCCTAGGCTAGGTTTTCAATTTCTCAAGTTTCACGCTTCTCGCAGTCTTTTCCCTATGTTATTCCACCCTAAAACCCCAAACCCTGGATATTGCTTCATTTAAGTTAGTAGGACTTGGAAGATAATTACATATTTAGCCCAAAAAAATAAAAAAGAAGGCGTGAACTTTGATTTCTGAAAAAAAGAAGGCGTGCACTTTGCATGGAGAAAGACCATTACGGATGCCTCGTCCCAATCCATTGTCGTTTCTTGTTTGGAGAATTTTAATTGTTTCACTTGTATCTTGTATGCTTTAACAGCCAAGCATGGGTGAAGAAGCAGACACAACTGAATCTCCTTAACCAATTCATTACTGATATATGTTTTCTAGTGCATGTATATTAATTCAATTTGAACTACTCAGGATAAGAAGTGCATTAATCATTATGTCCTCGCAACATATATGCTCTTTAATCAACTTCTCAAGCTTCCTTCCAGATTCGCATGCTAGATTTGGTGCTTATAATTTATTGCCAGAAAACTCCAAGGAGCGTACGTACGTCAAACAGCCCGCATCTATACTTCTGTATAAGTTTTTTTATGACCAGACTGATCAGTTCGTAAACCCATGTTGTTTCATTTCATGAGTAAGGTTTCTAATAAATCAAGGAAGGCGAGGAAGCTAAGGGCACCGAGTGAGAAGGAAACAGAAAATAAACTCGTAGGAGAACATGCTACCATTCAGAAAGCGAACAGAAGCCTAACCAGGAGTCCAGATGGGAAAGAAGACATCAATATCCCTGCTCAGTGGTGAGTGCAAAATATACTTGTTGGAGACAGAAAACCTCCTAGACGAGAGTCTGGGACAAATTGATTGCAAAAAATTTGATTATTCAAATGGTGATGTTTCTTATAGCTAAGCACAGGTGGTTCTTCTGCTGATGAGCAGGTAGTTGCAACTGATGAATCTGATTTGCGTACGTCAACTTTGATTTCTGCTTTTTCAAACAATCATCATCCAAAAATTGTACTGTGTTGGTTGCTTAAGTTTTATAAGAGTAATAATTTGATTGCAGTGGTGGCCAGGCCATAGAGAATGAAACTGAAAAGGTTTCTACAAAAAACAATCCATGCTTGAGTTGTGATTGCAATCAAAAATCATATCTAAATAAGTTACGTTTTCTTGCCATTACCAAAGACAAAAATCTTATCTTAAATAAGCTAAGACAACACTTATAACTAGCTTGCAAGGTCCTCTCCTCGTAGCATGAATCTTCTCTTGACAATTTACCTGTCCCAAAAAATTACATAAATAACAAAATTTGAGCAAACCCTCCATAATGAACAAACCGAAAGAGAAGACTAGAGTCCAGTAAAAACAATAGTAAGATTATTATAAGTAATCATAATTCCACACCTAGCATTTGAAATGGCAGGATACTAGCTGGCATTGCATACGTAACAAAAACATATAAGACAGATATGTGGCAAAAGTTGTGCCACCCTAACATAATGCAAATTCTTGTATGTGTTACTGTAACCCACAGAGATTTGACACCAAGCTACAACAAGGAAACTCTTGACCACTAGAAATAAGTAAGCATGATTTCCTCACAACCAGTTAACAAACACTCAAAGAAACTACGAACATAGGAAAAACAGGAGACCCTTAGTACTTCATCCACGTTCAATATTTTGCGGGAACTTGGATAATTCCATATTGAGCCCAAAACAAAAACATAGAAGACAGATATAACTAGCTTCCCTCTATCTGTACCTATTTATGTGCATATTTCGTATTACAATCAGATTGTTATATGACTAAAGCACTGCAATATATACATGTATGAATATACAAACACACAATATAACTGTATCGTAGAATAGATTACCCATATATAATGCAGAGTTATGTAGGCATAAAACAACTTACAGAACAAAGGCACCAATCATGGTGGACCATGTGATATCGCAACTAAAATAGCGAGTATGCACATGTTTGACGTCCCGCGGTGAGAATTCAAAGGTTAAGACCATACCCCGGAACTTCTCAGTCGTATATAAGGTCAAAACCAAGCAGACTTTGTGACCTTCTACTTGGATAAAACTGTGATGAAGTTCTGATTTACGAAATTCAACAGGCATATCTTGCGGCAGCGGCAGTTCTTTGATAACTTGACCATGATCAGCCCCGATGAAGTGGACAATAATCGTTTTTCCAAATGTGAACAAGAAATAGCCATTGTTATCCGCCACGGCCAAAGCTTTTCCTTTAAAGGGGAGACTACGACCATCGAAAAACCTAGGGGTACCAATTTCTATCCATCCTGCGTCATTCTCGGTGTCAAAACCATGAACCACAGGGATGCTGGGAGTCGACATAAGGATAAAATTACCCATGATTGCAAAAGAGGGGCGCATGATGCGTCCCTTTTCAAGAATTGGAGGTGCAGGAAGCGGAGACCATTTCTTAAAGTTGGGGTCGAATACCTGGAAGTATGAAGGCGTACTATCAAGAAAGAAATCCGTCTGACGGGCGAGAGCATAGAGTTTCCCCGAAACCTCCACCAGCAGGGGATCACAGATCCCTTTTCCAAACATTTTCCCAAACATACGCTCTCTGCCACTCATTTCAATTGTGGGATTCGGATCCCGAGTCTCAAATCCATATGTAGCTCTACTCGCGTCTGGTCCGAATCGCCACTTATGGGGACCGACCAATTTTGTGATGTGGGATTTAAAGCCTCCGGCGAAAACAATTTGAGATCCAAAGACACCGCAACCCATTTCGGCGGGAAGAAACTCGCCGGTGAGAGAAGCCCGATGGCATAATTCACTATTGCCCTTGGAGCAAGCCGCGCATTCGGTTCTGGTCGGTGTATCATCCGGATGGTTTAATTCACAGCAATCCTCCTCATCGGGGGCTTTGAGGGACGACAGGCATGGGCATTTGCTTCTATCACCATCACCACCAATAGTAGTAGGATTAAGAGGAAGATCGGGATAACCAATAGCAGCAGGATTAGGATTAGGTTTAGGATTGGTAGGAAGATCGGGATCAAAGCTGCAGGAGCATGATGACGAAAACAAATCACTCAATTTGATGGAATGGATAGCGTAAGAAACACCCACATTATTCAAAACCATGGAACATATATATAAGGACCTCTCATCATTCGACCTTAATGGTCCCGTCAGATCTTCCATGCCGCCGCCGCCGCTGTCGGTTGCCTCCATACACCACTTGCTGCTATGCTAGCTAATGGATTGGATATCCACCCAAAAGCCCTAGGCTAGGTTTTCGATTTCTCAAGTTTTACGCTTCTCGCAGCCTTTTTGCTATGTTATTCGACAATAAAATCCTAAGAGCATCCACAGTGGGAGGGTGTAAATTCGAGGGTGTAAAGCCACTTTTACATCCCCTTTACACCTCCGGGGGGTGTAAATATGTTTTTTGCTCCAGTTGGGGGTGTAAATTCGGGGTTGTAACCGTGGGTCCCAGCCTTTTATGTTGACTTTTCTTCATTTTTCTTCTCTTTTCTCGGGTGGGTCCCGCTTGCAAGGGATGTAAAAATGGATGCAAATATACATTTTATTTTACATCCCCATGGTGGTGATGTATATTTACATCCATTTACATCTCACCATTGGAGACGATTCCGGTGACATACACCCCCATATACACCCCCCATTGTGGATTCTCTAACCCCTAGATATTGCTTCATTTTAGTTAGTTGGAACTTGGAAGATAATTCCATATTTAGCCCACACATTTTCTATATATATAAAATAAAATAAAAAGGAATAATATCCCTGACATACAAAGAGTACCAATGCAAAAATGGTTTTTCTCCAAACTAAAAGGGTTTAGATTTTTTTTTTTTTTTTTTTTTTTTTTTTTGGAGAATTAGCGATAGATACATTACATTGGGGAGGTGGACACTTACCCTGGGATTCGAACAGGTGACAAGGGGGGGAAGGGGGAGGGACCTAAAAGGGTTTAGTTTTCTTAATTGTGACAGAATGGGTCCATTTTGCATTGTGGTTGTCGTTTGGGCCCTTTCATCATAAAACCCTAGTCGCATACTTCTTGTTTGGAGAATTTTAGTTGTTTCACTTGTATCTTGTATGCTTTAACAGCCAAGCATGGGTGCAGAAGGCATAACTGAATCTCCCGGCCGTAAAGATGATGGTGATATATATCACATTCTTTACAGGTGATGTATTGCAGCATCAATGAATGAGTCAATGTTCCATTCCAACTAGTCATTTCAAAGTGGCTTACGTTATGCATTAATTTGATAGCTTGAAGGAAACACACGAATACAAGTTTCTGTCTGCAGCTCAGCTGGTTCTCTTATGAAAATTATGGTAATTGCACTATTTCATTGCTGATACATGTTACAACTTATAGCTAGTGCATGCATATTCAATTTGAAGTCGGGATAAGAACTGCATTAATAATTATGTCCTCATGGCAACATGGTCCTTAACCAACTTCTCTTCCTTCCAGATTCACATGCCAGATTTGTTGCTTAAGTTGTTGCCAGAAAAGAAAACTCCAAGGAGCATCAAACAGCCCGCATACTCAGGAATCTGTTTCCACTGGTAGTCAAATTGATGGAGATGGAATGGAAGAGTAGTAAAAAGCAGTTAATACTCATTGGAATGGCTCGTGTGGGGCTGCTTCTCTAGGTGCTCCTAAAGTTCCTTATCTGGACTACGCGATATGTGTGTCCTAGAGTTTGCAAAAATGGTTTTTCTCCGAACTAAAAAGAGTTAGGATTATTGGACAAAGGCAGACGCACGATGATGACTGCAAATCGCTCAATTTAATGGCATGGATCACGTAAGAAACGAGACGACTGTCCCCTTCAACTCCACTGCACATATATACAAGGAGCTCTTTCGTCCTGCCAGATCTTCCGTGCCGCCACCGCTGCCGTCTACAATCAAATCCCCTTGATCTGTCGTTGTCGTTGTTGTAAATAATACGTACTTTTTTCAATCTTTGGTCTTTGTTGTCGTCCTTGAACTGGAGCTGGGCTATACCATCCCCAGAGGATTGTGTTGCGTAGGTGGTATTTGGGTGCTGAGTATAGCCGTGCGGCTGTACTATTTTTACATGTAAAAAAGGAGGAGCCCAGTCATTAGGCGCCACGTGTCAAGACGACTCTACTTTTTAAAAAAAATTAAAAACAGAGTATAGCCGGGCGGCGGTACTCATTTTAAAATTTTTTAAAAAAAAAAAGGACCCTCCAGCGGTTAGATGCCACGTGTCACTATACTATTTTTGAAAAAAAAAATCGTAGTATAGCCGAACGGCTATAATATTCTAGAAGGTCTATCTATACTATTCAATATATAAATTAAAAAAAAGAAAAGAGGACTCTCAAAGTTTCATTAGTTTGTACTTTATTGATATTAATTTGCTAACATATCCAAAGTAGATATTAATAAGCCACTATATAATGTTTTAGTATAACTTTTATAACATATATTATTGGTATTCAATAATATACGAGAATTATTTGTATAACACGTGAACTTTATGTGAATTATTGAAAATTTTGTAAAAAATATGGGTATTAAGCATTAGAAATGCGTATGTACATGTACAATACGACTATTGTACATTTGCTTTTTAAAAATTAGTAGACATGTATAGAATACGAATGTATTATTGAAAAATACATACATACATATATACTTATATATATATATATATATGTATAAAAGACTATAAGATATTAATTAAATTAAAGAAGTTGGGAAAAAAACAAAAGTAATGAAACTAATTTTATATTTTTATAAAAAAAAATAAAAAAAAATAACATAAACACTTCTCCCGACGAAATTTCATCGGCATACATCTATGCCGGCAAATATCCGTCGGATTAGGTTTCTCCCGACAACAAAACCTCTGCCGACGAAATTTCGTTGGGATAGGTCTTTTAAAATATATATATATATTAGTAATTAAATAGTATATTTGACTGATTTGATTAGTTAAATTAGTAATTATATTTTATTTATTATTTATTTAGTGAATAATTAGTATTAAATATGTTAATTAACGTCATGAATTATATTACTTAATAAATAGTAATTCAATTTTTCTTTTTCTTTTCTCCCTTTAATATTCACTAAGTAAATAATAACTAAAACATAATTACTAATCAAAGTAATTAAAAAAGAGAAATACATATTACGCTACTTAAAGGGCTTGTAAAAAAGTATAGCCGCGCGGCTAAACTATTTTTTTTAAAAATTTAAAAACTGAGTATAGCCGTGCGGCTATACTATTTTTACGTGTAAACAAAGAGGAGCCCAGTCAATAGGCGCCACATGCCAAGACGACTCTACTTTTTAAAAAAGAAATTAAAAACAAAGAGTATAGCCGCGCGGCTGTACTCATTTTTATTTTTGTTCAAAAGATGATCCTCCAGCGATTAGACGCCATGTGTCACTGTACTATTTTTGAAAAAAAAAATCGTAGTATAGCCGAACGGCTATAATATTCTAGAAGGTCAATCTATACTATTTAATATACAAATTAAAAGAAGAAAAGAGGACCCTCCAAGTTTCA